TTGGGGCACAGGCAGTCTGTGAGAAGACACATCAGCCAGTCCCAAAAATGCCAGTACAGGTGATAATACCTTCAAGAAATTCTGACAGGCAATACTGAGCTGCCTCCAATTATGGCTAAATTACTGCTTAGTATTCAAGGGAACTCAGTATTGTTTCAAAAGCTTTCTTGTCCAGGATTTTTTTTTTCTTTTGAGTGCAGTAAAGCTGCACCGTGTCAGGAATGTTTTCAGAAGTCAGTCTTGCTAAGATTTGAGAATATAGCTAAAACACTGACTGAAGTCTTTGCTTCTCTCTCCTCTACTGAAGTTTTTCACCAGATAATCTGAAATAGCCAAATCCTTCAAGCCTTGTCTTTCCTCTCTCCCTCTCCCCGAAATATTTTCTGCCTTTTATTGTTACTACTATTATTATTAAAAGAAGGAACTGATGGGAAAATTGAGCTCACATTTTTGCCATAAAATGGTCCTCTTCTCCCGTGTTTTAAGAACAGTCACTGTGGGCCATGCCACTGTTTCAGCACGCTTCTGGGACACGTTATTATTAGGTAGCTAACTGGTAGCACTTAGTATTTTGGAATACAACTTTCTTCCCAGGGCCTTTCTCAGTATCTTGTCAGACAGATTTGTTAAACGAGGCTTGAAAGAATGAGCTTCTGTTTTCAAGAAGAGAAAATATCAGAATGACAAGAAACTGGAAAGTTAAACCATTTCAGATCTGCTTGCACAAGTGTTAGAAATGGTTGCCTAAAATTGTCTGACTTAATCTTTTCCAGGCAAAAGCTTTGACAAAAAGGAAACATTTTTTCTACTTCAGGTACCACCTCCAGCAGTGGTATTCTTGTTTTTAAGGGGGGGGGGGGGGGGGGGGGGAAGAGAAAAAAAAGAAAAAAAAAGGAAAAAAAAAAAAAAGGAATCAAAGTAATAGGTCACTGAGCTTTATTCTTTTAGTGACTAAATTTATCATGCTAGCATTCGTTCCCATAAGAGTCACACGCTCCTTAGCCTATTTTTACACTCTGTGTCTTTTTTAGATTCACCCCCTCAATGCAGAGGTTGCTCTGCATGCTGTTCTCACCATTTCAATAACATCTTGTTCAGGACTACAGTTCCTGGTTCCCCAAAGTTGGATGACATATGCGCATACATGGCTGACACAATATGAAACTACATCAGCTTATTGCACAACACTGTGGCAAGAGCACAGTCCTCAAGAATTCTTACCAATGTTATTTGAGTTCTTGTTTTACCATTCCCAAGAGAAATCCATATGGACTTCGTTACTCTCCTTGGATTCACAACTGATGAATATTTTCTAGTTAAAAACTCGATAAAGGATTTCTGAACCTTAAACGCTGAAGAGTTGACAACTGTTGTCACCCTGTGTTTTGGAGTTTGTTTCTTGCTTTTTAGGATCTCTCCTACTCCTGGGGACACTTGATGATGATTTTTAGACCTCTGCAAAACTCCTCTACACAATTCCCTACCTCTAACGCCCGTACTTTTTAATTATTGTTCAACTACTTTCTTCCTTATATTGTCATTTAATTTTCCTGCTTTGTACTTTTTATCACTATTACTAACATTCATTTATTTACTAGCTTTTCAGATCCACACAAACTCACTCCTCTGAGAATTCCTTTCTAAAATGCAAGATTTAACAAATCCCTTTGCATCAGAAGAAATGGAAAGTCCCAAGTTAAAAAATTAGAAGAAGCTGGGGCCCATCACGCACGCCACCAGGTTCAGTGCTCACAGTGCAGAAGGGTGCCATGGGAATATGTAAAGAGAAAGGGGCAAAGTAGAGGCTGCTCAGTGCTCTACAAGGGAAAGGCAGGCAACAGCAAAACAGGATGGTAAGACCTTTCTCTTGCAGCATACAAGGAGGGGTTAGCAACAAAGGAGGACATTCAGCAGCACCAGTAAGTTACAGTAAACAACAACCATCAAAACATTTTTTTACAAGCAATGGGTTTTGGTAACTTTGGTAATTGCAAAACCAGTAAAACCCACACAATCCTACAACCTCCATTTTCCTGCTGCTACAAAACAGAAATCCCAGAACAAAAGAACCAAATGTTAAGAGAGAAAAGTACTCTTTAGAAAATAAATACAATCTGACAGTTCCACAAGGTACCATTTAATTACTGCATTAAAAAGCAATCATCAGGTTCTATGCAAGCAAACCATCAATAGACAGATGCTTACTTGTATTTGAAAAATATCCTTTCATAGGAGAATGTTTATCTTGCATACTTGATAAATAAAATTTTTCTTATACAAGATTGTTAAAAAATACTAGATATTGTAAGTGGTTTACAAGTCAGGCATTTAACAACAGTGCCTTCACGTGTTTATTATAGGCATTTTCTTATTTTAAAGTCAGGATTCAGAAACACTTTATTGCAAATCTGTCCACCTACACATCCAAAAGCAAATTAGGTCAATTCCAAACTATTTGCAAAACCTCCTATAGATGACGTAATTTGAGATTTTAAAACATGTGAAGGTTGAAATAAGCAGAGTCACCCTAGCAGAGTCACAAACCTTGTAAACTGTCAGGTTTTGGAACTGGCCTAGGAAAACATCCCCAAAGCAGCAAGAAACAACATGCGAAAATGACTGTCCTTGGCCAAAGGCTGCATCCATATCAACTCTACTAATACTTATATAATGTTTATTATATCAAGTTCTCCGATTACCTTCTAAATTTATTTCTACTTTTGGAATCCATAACATCTAACATCCCATGGCAATGAGGTCCACCCTGTAACTATGTGTTGCATGAAAAAAATGTTTCTTTGTGTTTGTTTTACTGTTAGGTAAGAAGCAGAAGTCAACAAAACTGATATAAGAATTAATTACTAACCATAACCTTCCCAACTTTTGCACAGCATTAATAATTTTATATGCATAATGCATTTCTTCTCAACTTATTTCTTTTCCCAGTTGCAGAGTTCTGACTACCATGTTCAAATACAGGTATCAATCTCCCCATACACAACGTGGTTTATCCATATTTTTTTTAAAAAGGGTATCTACAGCTGTTTGAGCTATTCCAGACTGATCATGAATATCATTGTTGTTTATATATTGAATTATATTCAGCTTCAAGATCTCGAGACAATTCTCCCCAGCAAGCGTTGCTGCACCGTATTGTAAAATTAACACTTTTGCCACTTCACTTGTTATTTTGTGTTATTTTCCCACAACAGTTCATTTTCACAGATTTGGGGATATTAACTTTCTGAATAGCGTGTGAGTACAAGCTGGTTTTTTGCTCTTTACCCTCCTTCATAAACTTAAAAATGTCAAACAGAAAAGATCTTCAAGTAGATTCCTGTAGGATTTTACACAGGACTTTCCTCCACTGTCACATTTTCTTCTTATTCTTTCTTTCTAATCTTAAAAAGTTATCAGCCCAGGAGAATTCTTTTCTTATTTTTGTGACCATTTGACTTCTTGAAGAAACTGGCTGCCATGGACAAGTGTGGTTGGATCGTATGGCACAGTCCTCACATGCCCACCAACTCTCCTACCCACCAGACTTGCAAGCTATAGTCTGCATCCAACAATCATGTTGGTTCCTCTTCATTATCTTACTTTCCCTGTGTATACATTTTTCATATTCATAAACATACCTCCTCCTTCGATTCCGTGACAGTTTTAATTTTGGTATGGGGAGAAATAAAACTTCCTGGGCTGCAGCTTCAGACAGAGAAAGCTAAGTTTCCAAATTCTGTTATTACACATTTGAAATAGTCCAGACCTCTTGAGTGCACCCTGATTAGATCCAGTCAATTTGTTATTCATTTTAATCTGCTTTTTCTAGCACTACAGTTTGCAACAAAACATGTGAGACATCTTAAGTAAACTCTAGCATGGGAATTTTCATATTTCCTCCATAATCAACACAGATGCAAAAAGGGTCTTTAAGATTTATCTCCTGCTCTAGCCTTTTCTCATGCCTTGACCCATACTGGACCTAAAGACCCTGTTACGTCGCTTCCTCTGCTGTGCCTGAAGATTTCTTCAGAGCTCCTTCTGTGCCTGTCTTCTGATTTTTACAGATAACTTAGCAGTTGTGCATTCTCTTCTTTTTCACCTTGGGTTACAATTTCCACTTTATAATGTCACTCTTTATAAAGTCTATTTTGGACTTCCCTTCTTCACAGATTAACAATGCTGTTTGGTTTTTTTCCCCCTTATAATAGATGGTAAAGATTTAATATTCAATGTGTAGGCTTTCAATTCACTAAAAGCTTTATTATTTAATCTCTTCCTTTTAACTATTTCCTAACCAGCTCCCTCATTCGGACGTAATCTCTCCATAAAATGTTCCTGCAATGTATTTTAGAGTTCCTTTTAAGTAACAGAGAAATCATGATTGTTATGGTTACTCTTGAAGGGAAGCTCAGCTGTAATTTCATCTTAAAGTAGGTTTTGTGCAATATACATTTATCATGAGCTACTCCTCACATGAGCTGACAGTTTATCAGGAAACAATATATTCTTCTTCATCTCTACATTTGCTGAGTCTTTGTACACGTAATAGAACACATGATAAGGCAAATGCTTCTTCCCTTAGCATCTTACCTTCTGTAGCACTTCACAGTAATTTTCCATCCTGTGGTCAACAGTCTCATACTCACAGTATTTTGATTTATTTGCACACAAATGCAAGCCATAAGAGTACCTTCTTATCTATGCTTGCATAGCTTGGACTGTAAACCCTAGCATATAATAACGTCTCTCTCAGAGTAGTTTGCAATGTCATCTCTATATTAACATTTACCCTTATACTAACATCTTGCATCACTTTTCTGAGATGCCAAATATGTCAATATACAGATTTAAAACCAGCATTCCAGCTCTCACACTCAATTTCTCATATTTCAGACTTTGTCCAGAAGGCCATCTACAACTTTGGGTCCAATTTTCTCCCTTTTTTTTTTTTTTTTTTTTAAATATTTTTAAAAGAGAAGCAAGCAGCAGATACATACATGACGGTGTTAATCCCTGACAGTTGTTGAAACATCTGCAGACCACAACCCACAATTAAGGCTCTTCGAGTTGGAGGGTATGTTAGCATTCTGCAGATCACAGGTCCAGCTTAAAAAAAAAAAAACACAAAAGAATACGTAATAGTTCTTAAGTGATCTCTACAAAACAATGTTCCCCGGCAGAACAGGTCTTGCACCTTAGTTTCACACAAGCTTGGCCTATTTGAATTATTTTTGAACCACCTGATCAGTTCAGTTCTGTTTTTCCATACTGTACTGCAAATATGATTTTCATGAAGCACCAGGCAAAAACAAGAAACAATTTTTGGATGCAGTGCACAGTGCTATGGATGGCAGATGAACAGCTCCCCTATACCATACTAACAGACTGCACATCTGCTGAAACTGAATGTACACACACTTGTCACACAATATCTTATTTGTTTCTTTTCTTAAAGCTCCCAATGTTTTTGTAAGGTTACTTCAAAAATGCCACTACGTGCTGCTCAGAGCTGCTGAATCTTCAGATGAAAATAAATCCCCAATTCCCACCAATGTTCTCTCAATTTCCATAAAGTTCTGCAAGTTTTAAAGATGTGGGATAGATCTGTGTGGCACAGTTCTAAGGCCAGCAAAGGGAGCATAAATTAATTAAATCTTTTCCATGCGCTTTGGTTTATGCTCAAAAAGCAGACAATACTTTCACACTGAAGAGACAGCCAAACATTTCTGGCAAACAGAGAAAGTTTTCTTCTCTGTTTCTCGTACAACTTTAAAGGGTCCTAAAAACATTTCATACAGAAAACGATATGAAATCTAGCAAAAATATAAATTATTTTACTTCGTTATTTACTTGATTTTATTTCTGCACACAGCATTGTTTGGGCCAGAATGTATTTCAGTGAAATAGTCCAGGTGTTACACATCTTATCACACCTGATATACCTACTCAGAAAGCTCATATAGATGACACTATATGTAAGTCAAAACAGTTGCCATAAAAAAAAAAATTTAAAAGAACAAAAAAACCACAGTAATGCAAGTCATAATTGGGGGTGAAAAGAATCTGTACTTTATGGTTATAGTTTCACATTTTCATCAGCGCCCCCCCTAAGCATAATAGAACTGTTAGAAGCATTGATTCAAAACCAAAAGCTCTACGGGTCTGTTAGCAAAGAGCAATTTACAGACATAGTTACTTGCCTGAGGAAGAGTTATTTTCATAGAAAAAAAAGAACAAGAAAAAAAAAAAGAATTTCTGTCACCACTTAACTTTGCTTCTTTGTCATTAACAGCAGAATCTACTACGACATTTTTTCCAGCTGGTGTCCAAGTAACATTGCATGCAGACAGGACACAGCCATACCTATTCTGCCATAAGGCCATAAGACAACCTTCAACACATCTCTAAGTAAATCACTGACAAACAGAACCAAAGTCAAGGTAAGATATTCTCAAGCAGGATGGGTGGCACTACAAGGCAGACAACTACACCAAAGGAACTCAGTAGCCCACGTGAGATTTCCTTGGCAGAGGGACAAGAAGCAGCAGTTTTGCTGCTAGCTAGGAACTGTCCTCAGCTCCAGAACACTCCAAGGACTCCAAGTCAAATGGAAAATGCTACTATCTCAATCTTCATTCAGAACAGCCCTCAAGTCTTCATGCTCTGCATCCCACCTGAGCAGGAAGGCTTTGGGCTTAAAAGGCTTTGTCCACAACAGATTCTGCAGCATCTTTCATGAACCCACACTGCCGAATGCCTATGAGCATCTGCTCCATTAACTGCCTACAAAGTTCTCAATCAAGCTCAAGTCTTGAATTTTGAATCAACAGCAATGCTCACTGTAGCAGAAAAGGAGGCAAGAGTTCCATACGGAACTAATGCAAGGATTTTAACAATTTTTGATCCATCTGATATTTGATGGAAGTTACATAAAACCCTATTCATAATAAAGCATTGTACAAAACAATTGAAGACATTAAAATGAATAGCTCAAAATTAAAGCAGCTGTTCCCAGACAATGGTTTGCAACTCAGAGGGAGCCATGGACTCTCAACTTAATTGCAAAAATCGGACTGTGTGCCTGCAGTGCATCCCTGCAGAAAGTCCAAGGCCACACATTAATGTCTGCCTTGACCTTTCCAGTCAGCTAAATTCAGTAAGCACTGATATTTTTTTTTCATATTTCATGATGCTAATCATCATACTTGTTTATATCAGAGACTTAAAAGTTTCACTACAAATCTGTATCATAGCAATGGCATAAATGAATAGGTATACACAAAATTCAAGGATTTTCTTCCATAAAATCCATAGCCTTCAGATTTACAAGCCAATAAACTGACTGAAAGACATAAAAGAAATCGTTATCTCTGTATTAAAGAAGCTTTATAAATTCAGCTAAAAACCCAAACGACTTTTGACAACGTTTGTTTTTATAAACAGAAAGAGCTTTATGGTTTTTTTTTTTTAAATTATCTACCCTTATACTATTTTTGTGTTTCCTTGTCTTTAGTCCTGCTACTCATTTTTTGTCGTGCTTATATACTACAAACACCCTAAAACTAAGCAACTGCAGGCAAATAAATCATAGTTGGCCACAGCAGAGAATGGTTCTAAACTGAAGGATGAAAAAAAAAAAAACCTGAACACATTTTTATACTGAAAATACAACTTCAGGAAACTAAAACTGTAGTTCAATAGTTTCTGATAGCTGCTACATTTCCTCTTATTTATTACAATGGATGAAAATAGCACAAAACAACAAAATCAAGGGAAATGGATGATGCAAAGGATGCATCACAAAAAATAAAATTTAACATTTGGCAAATTTTACAGAGAAAAAATAGATATTTGACTCCAAAAAACACACCAGAGTTTTTTGTTCATGATACTTCTCCCTTTCTGCTCGTTTTATCATTCCTGCACTTGAACTTGAGATATCACTGAGATATCAGTGTTTTTCTTCTACAAGCTATGAATAAAAATGAAGTCGAAAAGATGAGACCCACTAATGTCATCATTAATTTAATGAGACTAGATTTGCTCAATTTTTTTTTATGCTGTGGCTTAGATAATTACTTTATCTGAAATAAATTTCCTTAATGCATATGTTTACCAGGGTTCACAACACACTTCAGTAAAGGGCAGCCAATGTGGGTTCTAGCCAAAGTGCAAAATGGCAGGAATAGACAAAGAGCGATGGGAAAATAAGGATACTGCTGCTGTAGAAGGTGACATTGCACAAACGATTGCTGTGCTCTAATTGGCTTTTTCTGAGTTTGGTCTAACTATTATACCTAACCAGATATTCACCTCAAAAGCAAAAGGGAAAAAACAGTATGATTTGGGAGTTTGGCTCTGTCTCAAAAAAAAAAAGAAAAAAAGAAAAAAAGAAAGAAAACAAATGTGCTGTGCCAAAAGGTGCTGTGCCAAGGCCATTTACAGGTTTAAATATCCATTTGTCAAGTAACCAAGGTGACAGCTTGTGGCAACAGCTTAAGACAACATAGGTTTGCTGCCACATTTTGTGTTCTTGCTTGTAGAAGACTGTTTCTGCAAAAGCAAGCTTACCAAGCAAGAAAAGTTACCCATCAGTACAGCATCACTTCAGCTCACCCTACAGATTGGCTTTACAAAGCTGCTCTTATCCTGACACTAGTCAATGCCTTCTCTTTCATTCAGACATAGCTTCCAAGAACTGCTCTGGTGTCACGAGTGGCACAAAGAAGGACGTTAGGCTGGTGATCTGGATGGTGGAAGGCTGACATGGGAACCACTCCTCTCATTTGGCTTTTCATTACAGCAAGGCAACTTCCAGCCCAGCATCCTCTGCATCGTCTGGAGAAAGTGACTCCACCTAAATCAGCGCTCACTGAGGTTTTCTGCACAGGACTGATATTCTAAAGCAAGCATTTCTTTCCCAGTCTTATATCTACTATTTTCTGAAAGCGTCAAGATCATTCATTTTTCCTTTTTTATTTACCAAATAAAAAAATGCCAGAAGTAGTTTTGAGACTTAAACTGGAGTATTTATCCTGAACAAATAGAAAACCATTACACCTGTATACCAACCTCTCCCCCTCATTTTTATGATGCTTCCACTAACTCCAGAGGAATAACTTGCAGCACTAGAGGAAGCTCCTCACCTCCCTATTTCCCTATTTCTTCAAGATAGCTCAAAAGGATGCTTGAACCTTTTTCTCTTTTTTCTTTTTTATGTCAGTCACCCATCAAACAAGACAAGACAAACAAGAAAAGACTGCTAGCTTGCATCTGAGTCTGAGTCTATTTTTGATATTCCAAAGCAAATACATCCAGTGGTATAGCAAGACAACTTGCTCTAGCAGAAAACAATAGTTTAGACACAGCCTTTTCAGTTTTAGAGATTTAAGGGAATACAAGGAGCTTTTCCATGCCTGCTCAAACAGAAAGAGGTTTTTTGTTTTCTCAGGAAATACAGATTTCAAATAAACAGTCCCTTCGAATGATCTTTTTAATCCATACAGAATCATTCAGAATAAAGATTATTTTTTTTCTCATGTTGTTTTGACAAGAAAGTAGGGTTGTCTTCTGGGAATCGGGAAAACAAAACAATTTTCTTCTATCTGTAAAAAGAAAAAGAATACCATCTTTCCCTTGTTACCACATTCTTTGATTCAGGGCTTTGGAGATGGAAAATCTATGTGACTGAGTACTTGCACAAAGAAAGCAGCAGTTAATGCCTTTGAATAGGACAAGCAGCGGCATGTGGGGAAACAAAACAAAAAAAAGGAGTGTGCTTTGGCTCTGTATGACACGTTTTGTACAGAAAAGAGAAACCATGATAATGAACTCCTTTCAAACCGGAGGCACCACAGCAAAGCAGGATACAGAAACCAGCAGCAATTCACATGATGCCACTGGGAGAAGCGGCCACAACGACTGAAGAGAGACAATGACTGAGGAGCTGGAGCACTGCCTGCCAAAACCTGAGCAGGACGAGGAGCTGGGGAGGCTTGCCTGCTTCTTCGGTAGGACAACGGCTTGAGACAGAGGAAAATCAGGACCTCACTGTGCTTTCCCCTGGCACAGTAACTGCCTTGGAAACAAAGGAGGACGTGTTAAGG